TGATGATTGCTTGTGTTGCAGTTGAAACGTCGCGATAATTTTATTGTTTTATATTTTTATTATTTTATTGTTTCCCTTCTACGTGACTTTACCGAAAGAACCAAGAATATGGGGTGGTGTCATGTTTAGTTTTAGTAATGTCTCTCTCTCTCTCGACGAGAGTTATAAATGATTGCTTCAAGCGAGCCTGACCGCTGATGAGACACCGACTCCAAGCTTCTGAGACAGCCATCGTGGCTTCGACCAGGGGCGCTAAACAGCGGTAGTGAGCACGTGCTAGCAGCAGCATCAGCATCATGACCATCATCATTGCGTGAGTTTTATTAAACCCTGTAGATTGTAAACAATAAGTAAGTACATAATTCAAAATCACATCGGAAGTGCGGTACTAAATTCAAAAGACAAAAGCGTCCCAGAGAAATTCACACTGAAGGTGGCCTTCACAGCGGTACAGAGACAACCTTTACATCGGTCGGTGATGAGCGTGCACTGCAAACCTTGAAGACGCGCAGGTAGCATTTCACCGCCAACATGATTATTATCTATTTTGTCTCTTTGGAGTTAGGTCGCCGCGGCAATGATGAAGCTAGTTGTAATCACTGGCGAAACGTCGGACTCAGATTGTAAATGTTGTGGCTTGGCTCTCCAACACACACCGGTGTTGCTGTACTAGTGACGATTTGGCACGTTCAGTTTACGTGACAACCCTTACGAGTTGGCTGTGTCGGGTGGTGGCGGGTTTTAACGACACATTTATATTTTTACGCGATCTAACCCAAAAAAACTCCATTATGCTTTTTTTGTGTTTAGCTTGCATTCCTTCCCCCCCACCGGCACCTCCGATTGGCACGGTTGGCTACACAGTGTGAGAGAAGTTCAACTTACAGCTACGTCCAACATTCACGGGCTCACTTGCATTGCGCCAGAAACTCAGGAGCACCTTCCACCCATCCCGTCCCATCTCAACCACTTCAATGCACTTCTGCTGCAGTCTGATCAAGTGGGAGCATCACACCCTCGCTAACAGCTTTCTCTGTGTGGCACAAGATTGAGGCAGCTGTATCTGTGTGTGACGCAAAGCTGTACACAGCCCAGTGGGACACCCTGGTGGCAGCTGTCTCTGTGTGACACACAGCTGTACACAGCCCAGTGACAGCTGTCTCTGTGTGACACAAAGCTGTACAGAGCACAGTGGCAGCTGTCTTTGTGTGACACAAAGCTGTACACAGCCCAGTGGGACACCCTGGTGGCAGCTGTCTCTGTGTGACACAAAGCTGTACACAGCCCAGTGGGACACCCTGGTGGCAGCTGTCTCTGTGTGACACAAAGCTGTACACAGCACAGTGGCAGCTGTCTCTGTGTGACACAAAGCTGTACACAGCCCAGTGACAGCTGTCTCTGTGTGACGCAAAGCTGTACACAGCACAGTGGCAGCTGTCTCTGTGTGACACAAAGCTGCACACAGCACAGTGAGACACCCTGGTGGCAGCTGTCTCTGTGTGACACAAAGCTGTACACAGCCCAGTGACAGCTGTCTCTGTGTGACACAAAGCTGCACACAGCACAGTGAGACACCCTGGTGGCAGCTGTCTCTGTGTGACACAAAGCTGTACACAGCACAGTGAGACACCCTGGTGACAGCTGTCTCTGTGTGACACAAAGCTGCACACAGCACAGTGGGACACCCTGGTGACAGCTGCCTCTGTGTGACACAAAGCTGTACACAGCACAGTGGCAGCTGCCTCTGTGTGACACAAAGCTGTACACAGCACAGTGGGACACCCTGGTGGCAGCTGTCTCTGTGTGACACAAAGCTGTACACAGCCCAGTGGCAGCTGTCTCTGTGTGACACAAAGCTGTACACAGCACAGTGGCAGCTGTCTCTGTGTGACACAAAGCTGTACACAGCCCAGTGACAGCTGTCTCTGTGTGACACAAAGCTGTACACAGCCCAGTGACAGCTGTCTCTGTGTGACACAAAGCTGCACACAGCACAGTGAGACACCCTGGTGGCAGCTGTCTCTGTGTGACACAAAGCTGTACACAGCACAGTGGGACACCCTGGTGGCAGCTGTCTCTGTGTGACACAAAGCTGTACACAGCACAGTGACAGCTGTCTCTGTGTGACACAAAGCTGCACACAGCACAGTGAGACACCCTGGTGGCAGCTGTCTCTGTGTGACACAAAGCTGCACACAGCACAGTGAGACACCCTGGTGACAGCTGTCTCTGTGTGACACAAAGCTGCACACAGCACAGTGGGACACCCCGGTGACAGCTGTCTCTGTGTGACACAAAGCTGTACACAGCACAGTGGCAGCTGCCTCTGTGTGACACAAAGCTGTACACAGCACAGTGGGACACCCTGGTGGCAGCTGTCTCTGTGTGACACAAAGCTGTACACAGCCCAGTGGCAGCTGTCTCTGTGTGACACAAAGCTGTACACAGCACAATGGCAGCTGTCTCTGTGTGACACAAAGCTGTACACAGCCCAGTGACAGCTGTCTCTGTGTGACACAAAGCTGTACACAGCCCAGTGACAGCTGTCTCTGTGTGACACAAAGCTGCACACAGCACAGTGAGACACCCTGGTGGCAGCTGTCTCTGTGTGACACAAAGCTGTACACAGCACAGTGGGACACCCTGGTGGCAGCTGTCTCTGTGTGACACAAAGCTGTACACAGCACAGTGACAGCTGTCTCTGTGTGATACAAAGCTGCACACAGCACAGTGGGACACCCTGGTGGCAGCTGTCTCTGTGTGACACAAAGCTGTACACAGCACAGTGAGACACCCTGGTGGCAGCTGTCTCTGTGTGACACAAAGCTGTACACAGCCCAGTGACAGCTGTCTCTGTGTGACACAAAGCTGTACACAGCACAGTGGGACATCCTGGTGGTAGCTGTCTCTGTGTGACACAAAGCTGCACACAGCGCAGTGGCAGCTGTCTCTGTGACACAAAGCTGTACACAGCACAGTGAAACACCCTGGTGGCAGCTGTCTCTGTGTGACACAAAGCTGTACACAGCCCAGTGGCAGCTGTCTCTGTGTGACACAAAGCTGTACACAGCACAGTGGCAGCTGTCTCTGTGTGACACAAAGCTGTACACAGCACAGTGAGACACCCTGGTGGCAGCTGTCTCTGTGTGACACAAAGCTGTACACAGCCCAGTGGCAGCTGTCTCTGTGTGACACAAAGCTGTACACAGCATCTGGCCTGCAAGTGAGCAAATAATTCTGCCAGGTAGCTTTGCTGTGCGATCACTGAAGCGTGACGCCGACACCACAGCGGTGGACTCTCATTGGAATGCCGTCACGCTATGAAGCACACAGCACTGCGACGGCGTCGCATCTCGTGCTTAATTCCACGCTGTAGTATTAACCGGGACGGCCGGCAGGTTTCCGCACCGCGGAACCCTCTGCGGCAAATGCGCCACCGCTGGCGAACGTCACCGCCCCAAAGCAAGCAAGCGAATTTTGTGGATTCCGTTTTGTACGTTTGCCGAAATATACATAAACATAAGCATCCCGCAGTGGGAGTGAGCACAGTACAATATCCCACGTACGATTTTAATATCTTCACGTAAATAGACTGTGAGCAAACAATGAGCCGTTGTGATTCAAAGTTGACGTTTGGGTTAGGCCACTGTGTGATCATCTGACCAAAATCTGCGCCTTCCTTCCGTCCCACCACCGACAAATACCATTTTTTTACCAGCACGGTCAGAGTAGTCTGCAAGGTAAATTATTTACAGGGTGAATATAAAAGACGATGTACATTCACTTGCCCACGGAAAGCCTCAGCCAGTCTCAAAGACCCCCCCCCCACTCCCCGGTTTTTTCAGGAGGGTTCTGTCCTGGTTTCTGTAGTAGGTGGAGGGGGTGATGCTGCTGATGCTGCATGGCAGTGCGATGAGTTAAACTATCAAATCTATTTTTTTTACCAGGTAAGGCCCCACTGAAGCACTATAGAGCTCTTGTTTTTCAGTAGAGACCTGGCCATCGCAAATGATAGCTCAACGAAGTGGCCTTCTCATCACCATCATCATCGTGTGGAGATTTATAGCAGTAGCCATATAGCTGTAAAAACGCGTGGTGATATCCGATTATAAATGTGGCGGTGGGGGGGGGGGGGGGGGGGGGACCGTAGGACCCGGAGAAAAATCCGCGTGACCACGTGGACAGGTGAGGTAGTTAACATCTCGGCACTGTGGCCATATTGTTAACCTGTGTTCATATTGATATTCTGGCCAATATCAATATCAGTGATATATCAAAAACTGCCAACAAAAAACAAAGATATCAATCACAGGGCCCATCAGGGCAGCTACTGGGTGTGCAGGTGGTGAGACTGCACCGGGGGCCCACAGGCCGGAGTGGGGGCCCACAGGTAGTGTGGGGGCCCACGGGCAGTGTGGGGGCCCACGGGCAGTGTGGGGGCCCACGGGCAGTGTGGGGGCCCACGGGCAGTGTGGGGGCCCATGGGGCAGTGTAGGGGCCCACGGGCAGTGTGGGGGCCCACGGGCAGTGTGGGGGCCCACGGGGCAGTGTGGGGGCCCACGGGGCAGTGTGGGGGCCCACGGGCAGTGTGGGGGCCCACGGGCAGTGTGGGGGCCCACGGGGAGGTGTGGGGGCCCACGGGCAGTGTGGGGGCCCACGGGCAGTGTGGGGGCCCACGGGGCAGTGTGGGGGCCCACGGGCAGTGTGGGGGCCCATGGGCAGTGTGGGGGCCCACGGGGCAGTGTGGGGGTCCACGGGGCAATGTGGGGGCCCACGGGGCAGTGTAGGGGCCCACGGGCAGTGTGGGGGCCCACGGGGCAGTGTGGGGGCCCACAGGCAGTGTGGGGGCCCACGGGGCAGTGTGGGGGCCCACGGGCAGTGTGGGGGCCCACGGGGCAGTGTGGGGGCCCACGGGCAGTGTGGGGGCCCATGGGGAAGTGTGGGGGCCCACGGGCAGTGTGGGGGCCCACGGGGCAGTGTGGGGGCCCACGGGCAGTGTGGGGGCCCACGGGGCAGTGTGAGGGCCCATGGGCAGTGTGGGGGCCCACGGGGCAGTGTGGGGGCCCACGGGCAGTGTGGGGGCCCTATTGCTAGGAACAGTGGGCGGGTGCATAATTGGGAACAGTCGAGGGAATTCATGGCACCCGAGCTCCAGGCCACACCACGCCAACAACCGCCGCCTCATCCAGCAGCGGATGGCTCGTGGCTCGATTGGAACGGGCGACGGACGGGGAACGCGGCGACCCTCACAGCTCGATCTTCTCCATCGTGTCCTTGGACAGATAGACGACCCAGTAGACCATGTTGAACACCGCAAATGACACGGGGAACAGTATCCGTGCGTATTTGTCGATTTTGCTCGTTCCGTTGTTGGGCGGCGGCGGCGGCGGCGGCGGTGGGGGAGCCGGCGTTTGTTGTTGCTGCTGCGGTGGTTGTTGTTGTTGCTGTTGCTGCTGCTGCTGCTGCTGCAGTGGCGGTGGTGGTGGCAGCAGCAAGGAGAAGGCCTTGAGGCACGGGGCCTGGCTGGGCGAGGGCGGCACTGGGGTCCGGTTCGCCGCCGCCGCTTCGCCGCCGTGGTACCGGCGGGGGCTCGTGGCCTCCTCCCGGTACTGAGTCGCCACGTTCATCCTCTTCTTCAGCGTGCAGTTCTGGTCGGGGCTCTGTCGTGTGCGGAGTTTGTTGGGGGTGGAGGGGAGGGAGAGGGCAGTGAGGCAGAAGAGTTCATCACACGATCGCCATTTAGCTCGTTCGTTTGTTTACCCAGAAAAGCCTCGCTCGTTTTCAGGAGGGTCTGGGAAAGACACTGCTGCTGCTGCTGTTGCTGTGTGTGTGCGATCCCATTTGCGTACATTTTTCAGCATTGAGATGATTGGCCAATACCGGTTACACTGCGTTTTTTTTTCTTTTCTTTTATTGTTGTGCGAGATGCGTCGAGTGTGTAGTGATGGGTGGGACGCGTAGTGTGCAGGAAGGAGGATGGAGTTAAGCCACTTGGATGTTGGGAATGGCACGTAAGCACTAATTAATTGGCCGCTAACCGCTGAGTGTACAGAGGGTCGCAGAGCTCGGGCAATAGTTGGTTCCGCTGCTGCCTTGCAGCCGGATCATAAAACTAAACGATACTTTTACCTGGAAAGGCCCCGCTGAGCTCTGTAGCTCTTTTTCAGAAGCGACCTGGCTGCCACAAGCGACGGCTCAACGTAGTGGCGTATCACGTGGAAATGCGTAGCAGCAAAAGAAGTCGCGTCTTTAAACGCGCAACATTGGTTCTAAATGTGGGGTGGGGGGGGGGGGGAACCGGAGGAAATGGAGAAAACTCCACGCGACCACGGGGAGAGAGAGACACACAAACTCTAAATATACAGCAGCAGGCATCAGGGTCTGGATCGAACCCACGACCTCCTGTATACCAGGCGAGGTAGTCAACATCTCCTAGCCACCGTGATGATGATGATGAGAGAGAGACACAAACTACAAATATACAGCAGCAGCAGCAGGCGTCGTCTGGGTCGGGATCAAACCCACGACCTCCTGCACACCAGGCGAGGTAGTCAACATCTCCTAGCCACCGTCGCGTCCCTCCCACCATGGTGCCTCTCTTGTGGAGGGGGGCGGGGGGGGTGGCGTACCGAGAGCACCTCGTTGCGGGGGCAGGCAGCCAGCGCCGGCGGAGGGCTCCGGTCACGCTCCCGGGCCACGTCCGGGCCCGGCGATGGCTCCGGGCGACTCTCCGCCGCCGCCGCCGCCGCCTCTCTGAGCGCCGCGTCCCTCCGCGCCGCCATCGCGGCGGCGGCGGCGGCCGCCATCTCGGCGGCGGCGGCGACGGCAGCGGCCATCCTCGCCGCCCTCTTGACGGCGCGCTCGGCGTGCACGTTGGTGAAGTAGTTGACGGCGGCGAACTCGACGAGCGCCGAGAAGACGAAGGCGAAGCACACAGCGATGAACCAGTCCATGGCGGTGGCGTAGGAGACCTTGGGCAGCGAGCCGCGCGCGCTGATGCTCTGCGTCGTCATGGTGAGCACCGTGGTGATACCTGGCGGTCGCGCCGACGAAACCGTCGTCGTCGTCACGGGCGAACGAGGAGCCACCTTCACGTCGCTCATCTACAGCTACTGCCGAAATAGTTGCTTGCTCGCTCACTCGCTCGCCGGCCCAACAATTGCTCAAGCTCTGCGGTCCTACGCATATCAAGGTGTGATTGGCCAATGGGAGGAAAACGGAGCACCCGGAGAAAAAAGCCCACGTGTGCGAGGGGGAAACGCTCTATTCCCATACAGACCTATCAGAATATTTATTTACACTGGAGAAATCCGATGAGCTGTGAAGCTCTTTTTCACAGATGTCCAGTCGGGGCAGGTCGGAACGTTACGACAACAAACAGTACAAAAATAACAACCGACACAACAGAGTCCACATTAATGCTGTGCCGCCTTCTCCTGGCAGAGCCCGAGTACGGCTTCTTCCTCGACGACCACCCACGAGGAGGGAGTTTTGCACGACATCTCTGTGTGTGTGTGCGGTGATCCACAACCCTCACTGCTGCTGCTTGTCGCCTCCACTGCGCTGGATGACTACAGGCAGCCACGTATGGCGTAGCCACCACTGCCACCGCCGCAATCACCACCGCCACTACCGCCACCGCCGCCATCACCACCGCCACCGCCACCACGACCGCCACCTCCAGCGCCACCACCACCGCCACCACCACCACCGCCACCACTGTCGTCCACCGCCACCACTGTCACCACCACCACCATTGCCACCACCACCATCGCCACCACCTCTGCCACCGCCACCACAACCGCCACCACCACCGCTACCACCACAACCGCCCGGCTAAAGCGACTGTGCCGCGGTGACGACGACGCCGTGTGGCCCGCGAGCCGGCTCAGCGTACCGAACACGGTCCGGGCCGGCACCGACTCCTTGTTGATCCAGAAGGAGACCTGCGAGAGGATGACGGTCAGGATGCACGGGATGTACGTCTGGATTATGAAGTAGCCCATCTTGCGCTTGAGGTGGAAGTACACGGTCATGACCACGTAGTCGCCTGCGGGGAGGTGCGGTCACGTGAGCATCACGCGGCCGTCACGCAGCCGTCACGTGATCGTCACGCGATCGTCACGCGGCTGTCACGCGGCCGTCACGTGATCGTCATGCGGCCGTCACGCGATCGTCACGCGATCGTCACGCAGCCGTCACGCGGCCGTCACGTGATCGTCACGCGATCGTCACGTGATCGTCACGCGGCCGTCACGTGATCAATCAATCAAGTCTTTATTTCAAAGTGCTGTACAGGTAAAATAAAACATTGTTAAAACACTAAATCGCAAGAACAATAAAAGCAATTATATTATTGAGTCTTTCGGTAAAGTCGTGTAGATAGGTTGAAAGAAAACAACAAAAAAATACGACGTTTAGATCGCAACACAAGCGGTCGTCATCAGGAGAAAAAAGAGTGGGAAAGTTGCTGAGGCAGGCTGTTTTAAAAAAGGGTCATGACCCTTGGCCTACACCCATTTTAAACCTGCAGTCACGAAAGCTTTAAGTCAATAATAAAAGCATTATAATAAATTGCTAGCAAAGGCATATTAAACATATAACACTATTAAAGCATCTGAAGTAAAAGCAACTTTAAAAAGTAAGTTTTTAGATTTCTCCTGGCAGGCTGTTCCACAGGCGAGGCCCACGCACACTGAAGGCCGGCTTCTCCGTGAGTTTTGGTCCTGGCCCTTGGGACGATTAAAAGACCGGAACCGGATGATCTGAGGCATCTTGTTGGTTCATATCGACAAAGCACCGAAGACAATGTATACCGGTACCAAACCATTCAACTATTTTAAAGCCAATAAAATACTTTTAAGTCGATTCCACGAGCGACTGCCAGCCAGTGCGAGGACCGTAGAATAGGCGTTACCTGGGTGCACTTTCTGGTTTCCGTAAGCACACGTGCTGCTGCATTGCGAATAAGTTGTAGGTTACATATTTGACTTTTTGCGGAAGACCCGAAAAGAGAGCGTTGCAGCAGTGAAGTCTGCTGGTAATAAAAGCGTGCATCAGTCTCTCAGTGGTAAACCGAGAGAGGAAAGGCTGTACCGTAGTTATATTTCTAAGATGATAAAATGCCCAAAGTTCAAATCCGGATCATGTGGTCGTCACGCGGCCATCACGCGGTCATCACGTGTTTGTCACGTGTTCGTCACGCGGTCGTCACGCGGCCGTCACGCGGCCGTCACGTGGCCGTCACGCAGTTGTCACGCGTTCGTCACGCGTTCGTCACGCAATCGGCACGCGATTGTTGTGTTGGTCGTGTTGGTTGTGGTGACGGTACCCGTGTTGATGATGTTGGTGATGGTGTTGGTAGTTGTGTGGGTGGTGTTGGTGGCGGTGGCCATATCGGTGGTCGTGTTGGTAGTTGTGTGGGTGGTGTTGGTGGCGGTGGCCATATCGGTGGTCGTGTTGGTGGTTGTGTGGGTGGTGTTGGTGGCGGTGGCCATATCGGTGGTCGTGTTGGTAGTTGTGTGGGTGGTGTTGGTGGCGGTGGTCATATCGGTGGTCGTGTTGGTGGTTGTGTGGGTGGTGTTGGTGGCGGTGGCCATATCGGTGGTCGTGTTGGTAGTTGTGTGGGTGGTGTTGGTGGCGGTACCCGTGTTGGTCTTGATAAGCTCGCTGGCGGCCGTGTGTCTCTCCAGGTCGTACTGCAGCAGGCTGGACGACTCGCGAGGGATCTCCACCGACTTGTTGGCGCCCTTGGTCCAGCTGTAGAGGACCTCGCTGTTGGGGTAGGCATCTGCGGGCACCACGCCGCACCAATCGCTCTCAATATAAACTCACTGTGACACCGAGTGGTCGTAGTAGTGGCGGTAATAGTGGCGGTAGTAGTGGTAGTAGTAGTGGTAGTAGTAGTGATAGTAGAAGTAGTAGTAATAGTGGTAGTAGTAGTGGTAGTAGTGGTAGTAGTAGTGGTAGTAGTAGTGGTAGTAGTAGTGGTAGTAGTAGTGGTAGTAGGGCTTTCGCGACTAGTAATATCCCTAATGGAGAGGTTGTTTAGGGTGAGATCGCGTGAGTACAGGGTGTTTGAAAAAGATGGACCCGATTTGAAATCGCGATATCTCTGCAAACACGAACCGCCCATGAATTAAACGCTTACGACTTGAAAGGGCGGGGCATAGCGAGGGCGGGGCATAGAGAGCGCGGGGCATAGAGAGGGCGGGGCATAGAGAGGGCAAGGCATAGATAGGGCGGGGCATAGAGTTTCAAATGATTACCGCTAGATGCCTCTCCCAGCGCACAAACAGCCCCTAGCCTCAGTCATTCGCAAGATGGTTACCCCGCAACACAAGGGGCGTTTTGCGTTCTGCGGTTCAGCAAGACTGAATCCGCGATTGCGGTGCAACGTGCATTTCAACGGCGTCGTGGCATTGATCCGCCATACGTCGTTGGTACTGACAATTTGAGGAAACAGGCTGTTTATGTAAGGGGAAGAGCACAGGGCGACCATACACCTCAGAGGAAAACGTGAGAAGAGAGGCGTTCGGGACAAATTTAACTATCGCCTCGATGTTGTCCGTACAGCAGGTGGAGGGCACATAGAGCATTTATAAAATGGTTAGTAAAACTTGATAACTCATTAAACCGTTTGTAACTTTTTGTGTAATTGTAACAAGTTGCCATCGTGAAATATACTGCTTAGAAATTGGGTCCATCTTTTTCATACACCCTGTATATGGAGGCGTCGTTGAACATCTCCGCCAACTCGACACAGGAAAACTCAGCGAGGGTTTGTCGCATTAACATAACGTGCCGTCATTCGACGATGCCGGTTGTTGTAATTACCGCGAAACTTCACGATACTCTAATTGTGAATGTTGTGGTGGCTTTACTCTCCAACGCACAACCGGTTAGTGCTGGACTAGTAATGATTTGGCACATTCTACTTACGTGACAAACCTTACTCATTGGCTGTGTCGGGTGATGATGGGTTTAACGACATTTATATTCACACGATCTAACCCCAAAACACCTCTGTTATGGATAAACTAAAACTATTAACTCTTTTTTTATTTACCAGGTAAGGCCCACTGCGCGACTGTGTAGCTCTTTTTCATCATCACGTGGAAATGTTTATAGCGGGCAAACGCTATGATGTAGATTCTAAATGTGCAGGGGAAAACCCGGAGGACCCGGAGAAAAATCCACGTGACCACAGGGAGAGAGAGACACACAGAAAACTCCAAATATGCAACAGGCGTCTGGGTCAGGATCGAACCCACGACCTCCTGTATACCAGGCGAGGTAGTGCTGTTAGCGAGCACCTATGAAGGCTGGCACGGCACACAAGGGGGTGGGTAGCCAGCACCACGCTCACACTCTCTGCAGAACAGGAGGGAAGAACATACACACTCGACACAGTCAGGGATTGAACCCAGACTAGAGGCCGCCCGAAATTCGATTTCGGTTTTGGCTTCGGCGCCGAAAGTTGGCAAATGGCCTCTTTCGGCAAACTTTCGGTAAACTTTCGGTTTCGGCCGAAATTATTTTTTTTACTTTAGGTTGTGGTTTCGGTTTCGGCCGAAACTGATATTGACTTTCGGTCATTCGTCAACCGAAGATCTATTTTTAGAATATAACGCTCGTGCTACGTCTATCACTCTGCCTATCGGCCGGTCAGTCGGCGCTAGGCAATCCTATGCGATAGGCGGCAAACACACACACATGTCAGCAGCAGCAGCAGCTTGGGAGCAAGGTTACAGTCGCAACCATGCAGGCTACTAATGTAGATACGACCGGTCAACAGACGGCAGCCCGTCTGGCTGAATGCGGAAAAACTGTTGTTTTTTCACTACAACATTCGTTTGTTTGGATATAATTACTAAGTAAGTAACACCTTGATATTTTGCGACTCTTACTGCAGGCTCTGAATGATTAGTTCTAGATTTCTTTTTAATTAAAGTAGCATTGCATCATGACATATTTCATAAATCTTGTGTTCGGTAACTTCGGTTATATGCTTTTCTGTTTCGGTTTCGGCAAAAAGTGGAGTTAAACTTTCAGCTTTGGTTTCGGCCGAAAGCGGAGTTAAACTTTCGGTTCCGGCTTCGGTTTCAACCAAAAGTAATTTTTTTACTTTCGGTCTGGTTTTGGTTTTGGCCGAAACCAGAAATTCAGTTTCGATCAGCCTCTAACCCAGACCCTTCTTGACTTGAGGCATGAGCGCAGCTGCCACTGCGCTGCCGGCACCACCATCGTTGTGGTCACGCCGATTGTTATCGCGATCACAGACCATTATTGCGATCACGCCGATCGTTGTCGTGATCATGCCGATCGTCGTCACGATCACAGACCGTTGTCGCCGATCCATGGCCGCAGGGGACTCACAGCTTCCGAACTTGAGCGGGCAGGCGTGTCCGTCCATGGGGAAGTCCATGAGGCGCATCGGGCACTCGGCGTTGATCGTCAGCCTGGGGGGGGGGGGGGTGGTGGAGGGTGGTGCAGGGTGGTCGAGGCTGGTAACAAACGAACGGTGGAGGAGCTTCGTGGCCTGCAGCAGATCGCCCCGTGGCTGCTTCGTCCACTTTCCCACAACTAGTTTTGTTTTTTACTTGGTAAGGCCCACTGAGCTACTGTAAAGCTCTTTTTTCATAAGTGACCTGGCCATCGCAAATGATGGCTCAATGGAGTGGTTTTAATCGTCATTGCGTGGAAATTTACAGAGGCCAAAATACTCGATAAACGTGTGACGTCGATTCTAAATGTGGAGAGAAAAACCGGAGGACCCGGAGAAAAATCCACGTGACCATGGGGAGACAAGAGAGACACGCAAACTCCAAATATACAGCAGGCGTCAGGGTCCGGATCGAATCTACGACCTCCTGTATACCAGGTGAGGTCATTAACATCTCACCACGGTGGCGAGAAAGAGTGAGGAACGGAAATGGGAAGAGAAAGACTGGGAGATGGGGGAAAAGGATGGGAAATGAATGGAGGATCAGCCGTCCATCCCACCGTCTGTGCGTCCGTCCGTCTGGCAGTCGGATCGCCCGACCGTTCGTCCGTCCGTCTGACAGTCCGTTTGTCTGTCTGTCCGAACGCCCAACCCTCCCCTGCCTTACCCGGCCCGCCTGCCCGCCGGCTCACCGCATGGTGTAGAGGATCGTTCCGTTCTGCATGATGCGCAGCAGCTTGTTGGGGGCCGTCATGTTGTGCGCGATGGACGTCTTGCCGTTGCGGAAGTACGTGTCGGGCGTCCAGATGCGGTTGACCATGAGGTTGTTGAGCCGCAGGATCTCGATGGGGCCCTTGAACTCCAGCCGCTCGTCCACCCACGTTTGGCGGAAGAACACGTCCATGGTGTAGTCCTGAAGCGCACACCAGAGAGAAGGGGACGAGCGATCGATGATGATGACTATGATGAGGATAATGATATTGATTTGGATGATGATAACTATGATGATGAGAATGATGAGGATGATGATGATTTGATTGATGAGAATGATGATGACGATGATGTGCATGATGATGACACGGGGGATGCATTCTGCAAGGAGGCCGTGCGGAGTGAACCCGTACAAGCGGGGGCGGGGTGGGATTTCAGTAAACGCACGCCCCCCATTGTCTCAACTGCCGCAACGGGAAATCGAATCCCAGCCAAGCGAACGCACGACGACCTCCACTATTGCGAGCACAGTGCTTCCAATGCCTGCCCCCCCCCCCCCCCCTCTCTGTGTTGCTGGCGAGCGCGAGAGCGCAATGAGGCCTGCGCGAGGCTGCCTAGTTACCATTTTAACGTCGGACACCGGCCCAAAGCTCGTCACGTAGATGTCGGTCTTGACCTCCATGACGGGGCCTGTGAGGAGACATCAGAGGCTGGTGGGGAGGGAGGGAGGGTCCACTCAAGGCCCCGGACAGAGCCACGGGGTCCACTCGGGGTTCAGTCGGGGTCCAGTCGGGGCCCCGGACAGAGCCACGGGGTCGGGTGGCGGCGGGTTTAACGACACATTTATATATCTACGCGATCTAACCCAACCACCCCCCCCCCCCCCATGATGGATGATATTGGTCGCTAGAGGCTACCACGTGTTAGCGTGACGTAGTTCAGTTTGCTGCCCAGCAGGGGGCGACCCCTGCTGCTGCGGTGTTCCGAGCGGTGGTGGTGACGCTGCTGCTGCTGTGCGTGGCTGTCATCAATCCGTGTGTGTTTATTAACGTTGTGATTTTTTTGTGTTAACCATTGAGAACCAAAGGCTGCGGTAAAGGTGAAGAACCACTCACAATAACTGTTTTTGGGTTAGACACGGCCAAGTCGTCAGGGATTTGTCACAAAAGCAAGACCCCAATTAGTTAATTATTCAGTGATGACGTCGTCCTGCTGCTGCTCTATTTAAGCAGGTGGAGGGCTTCACTCTTCTGGCAAATCGCCCGATGATGCTGGATGTAATTACTAGCGAAATGTTGTGGATTTACTTTCCAACACACCGGTGGGCTGAAGAAGTAACTAATTGACACGTTTTGTTTACGTGACAAATCCCTTACTAATTGGCTGCGTCGGGTAGGGTGGAGGGTTACGACAACATTTACACTTCAAGATCGAACCCACAAACCTTGACTATGAATCCTATTGAAGTCTCCTGCGTGTTGAGAACCACCGCCCAAAAGGGGACGCGCTGTGCCCATCCTTTTCCTCGCCTCTCATTTCCCGCTCCGTTTCCCTTCGCGTGCCACCCGGGACCCCCCTCCCCCCGGCGGTGTCTGTGCCGCCCCCGGTCACCTCCGAATCCCGGCCGTAGGCGGTTGTCGTATCCGTGCAGCAACCCGTCCAGAATCTTGGTGATGTTCTCCGGATAGATGCGCTCCTCGGTCGGTTTCCCTTCGGCCCGCTGGACCCCGCCGCACACACTACGGAGGGGGCACAGCGGCAAAGTGAACGCGGACACTCGCCGTGACCCCGCGCTCGCCGTGACCCCGCGCTGCCGTCACCCCGCGCTGCTGTGACCCCACGCTCGCCGTGACCCCGCGCTGCCGTGACCCCGCGCTGCCGTGACCCCGCGCTCATTGTGACCCCGCGCTGCCCGAACAGTCTGTTAGAGGCCATACGCGGCGGCCGGGCCTGGTGCTGGCCACCCACCCCCTCGTGTTCCACAGTGCCGGCCTTCACATGCGCTGCTACTCGCTAACGGCACTCACCCCAACAATCTGTTAAGGCGACACAGGGGGGGGGGGGGGGGAGGGTCTTTGTCACTTACCACAAAGCCATCCAGGTGAGCACCAATGGGCGTGCGTGGATCATGGTGCTGGCCATGCCATGCTAGACACCGCTCAGCCGCGCCTGCCGTGCCATATCCATCACCTGCAGAGAGATTCAGAATCAGAGCATTGAGACTGGAAGAGGAATCCGATGAGCTATGCAGCTCTTTGTTTCACAGATGTTCCAGTAGGGGCACGGGGTCAGAAAGTTACAACTACAGACATATTACTCGCAAACACAAAAGGAGTGCAAAGTGAAAGAAAGGTAAACAAAGCACTTTCAAAAATACACAAATAGAACTAAACTAGTTTTTATCTTACCAGATAAAGGCCACCGAGGTATTAACTTATTTTTCAGAAGCGACCTGGCCACAAATGATAGCTCAACCAAGTGGGCTTATTGTGTGGAAAATCATAGCAGGAGCCAAATACTTTAAACGCGCGACGTTGATTCTAAATGTGGAGGGGAAAAACCGGAGGACCCGGAGAAAAAATCCACGTGACCACGGGGACAAAAACACGCAAACTCCAAATCTACAGCAGGCGTCAGTCGGGGGCTGAACTCACGACCTCATGTAGACCAGGCGAGAGCGTCAACATCTCGCCAAGGAGAGAAAGAGACATGCAAACTCCAAATATACAGCAGGCATCAGAGTCGGGATTGAACTTACGACCTCCTGTAGACCAGGCGAGAAAGTTAACATCTTGCCAAGGAGAGAAAGAGACATGCAAACTCCAAATATACAGCAGGCTTCAGGATTGGGATTGAACTCACGACCTCCTGTAGACCAGGCGAGGTAGTTAACATCTCACCACGGAGAGATAGAGACACGCAAACTCCAAATATACAGCAGCAGGCGTCAGGGTTGGGATTGAACCCACAACCTCTTGTATACCAGGCGAGGTAGTTAACATCTCCTAGCCACCGTGGCGAGATGTTAACCCGTCTCTTGTGATGGGTTATCGCTGCACTGCGAGCCCGGTCAGCCGAGTTGGATTCCCGCCCACGGCCAACATCGGTGGCGAATATTTGACGCGTTTCTGGGCCTTCCCCTGAGTCTAATCAGCCTCGAATGAGTACCTGGTGCGGTGTCCCTGAGAACACCCGACGAGACTCCGAACACACAGTCGGGGTCGTCAGTCAGGGGTCGTCAGGGGTCGTCAAGGCCGGGATCGAACCCCAACAGCGGTACAAACCGCACACAGCGCACTGAATCAGCGAGCACCTATTCTTTGGGTCTTTCGATAAAGTCACGTAGATAAGTTCAAAGAAAATAACAAAAGACTACGACGTTTCGATCGCAACACAAGCGGGCGTCATCAGGAAAAGCCTTTCCTGATGGCGACCGCCAACTTTGCTGGAACCCTGGGTCTGGAGGTCTCTCTCTAGACTGCTGGGTTCCTGGGTTCAATCCCTGGATGTCTCTGCTTGAAGGAAGGGGCGCCACGGTGGCTAGGAGATGTTAACTACCTCGCTTGGTATACAGGAGGTCATGGGTTCAATCCCGACCCTGATGCCTGCTGTATATTTGAAGTTTGCGTGCTCTCCCCGTTGTCAAAGGATGTTTTCTCCAGGTCCCCCGGTTTTTCCGTCCACATTTAGAATCAAAACGAGTGTAGAATATTTGGCTGCTATAAATGTACACACGGTATGCCACTGGGTTGAGCTGTAATTTGTGACGGCCAGGTCGTTTCTGAAAAAGCGCTACATAGCTCCGTGGGCTTTACCTGGTAAAATAAAAATAGTTTAGTTTATAATGGCCGTGTCAGAGCCACTGACCTGAGATCCTCTCAGGGGGTTCGTAGTGGCCGTGTTCAGGACACTGAGCCGGCACTGATGATATCTGGGTTCACGCCCTGGGTCTGGGTGTCTGTCTTGCTCGAATGATAATGGCGCTTGTGAGCAAATGAATGCTTGGTAATCTTCTGTTGGTTCCGGCTGCTGATGTAGATGCAGAGCAACGGCTACAATTTCACATTCTGGAGGTCAAGCCTAGGTGCTCCCCTCGGAGAGCACGTCCCCCAGGAGATGGAGTAATTGATTGTTTATTGCATCCACCAGATGGTGAATGGATGATTTCATCCATCTGCTGGGTGGATTGTTGCATCGGATGATGGGTGGACCATTGCACCAAATGATGGATGGAACATTGCACCAGATGGTAGGTGAATCATTGCACCAGATGATGAATGGATCATTGCACCAGATAATTGGTGGATCATTGTACCAGATCATGGGTGGATTATTGTAGCAGATAATGGGTGGATCATTGCACCAAATTATGGGTGGATTATTATGATGAATGGATCATTGCACCAGATAATTGGTGGATCATTGCACCATATCATGGGTGGATTATTGCACCAGATGATGGTTGGATTAGTTCACCAGATGATGGTTGGATCATTGCACCAGATGATGGATGGATTATTGCATCAGATGATGGTTGGATCATTGCACCAGATGATGGATGGATCATTGCACCAGATGATGGGTGGATAATTGCGCCAGATGATGGTTGGATCATTTCACCAGATGATTGTTTGATCATTGCATCAGATGATGGATGGATCATTGCACCAGATGATGGGTGGATCATTGCATCAGATGATGGATGGATCATTGCACCAGATGATGGATGGATTATTGCATCAGATGATGGATGGATCATTGCACCAGATGATGGGTGGATAATTGCGCCAGATGATGGTTGGATCATTTCACCAGATGATTGTTTGATCATTGCACCAGATGATGGATGGATCATTGCACCAGATGATGGGTGGATAATTGCGCCAGATGATGGTTGGATCATTTCACCAGATGATTGTTTGATCATTGCACCAGATGATGGATGGATCATTGCATCAGATGATGGATGGATTATTGCATCAGATGATGGATGGATCATTGCACCAGATGATGGGTGGATAATTGCGCCAGATGATGGTTGGATTAGTTCACCAGATGATGGTTGGATTATTGCACCAGATGATAGTTCATAGTTCATAGTTAGTTCATAGTTCATTTATTTGGTATAGCCCTGTGAGCCATTCGGCTCTTGAATCGGGTGCAACCGCAACAAACAAAAACATAAACAAGAAAACATCTTAAAGTGATTATGTGACTGTGCAAACAGAAAATACAGGAAAAAAAATATCAAAATGTTCCTGAAATAGCACCGTACACCAACGCTGTGTGCAAAAATCCCAGTGGGATGCAAGTCAAATAACAACAACAACAACCACAAGACAACTAAGATTAAGGCCATCAGTCTAACTCCATACTACAATAAACAAAAACATGGCCAAAAAAAACTTTTCGAAATCACCAAAATAAAAGCCATAAATCCAATGTAACAGTGATCATAGGGACTGTGACCGAATTTTTTACAATAAATTACATAAATAAATTATAACACCAAAATCTAGAGCCATATTTTAGGCCACTGAATAGCAGTGGCAGCTAGGGTTGTACAACTCCTCTAGAGCAGTTTTGAGTGAAGATCTCATAGGTAGTGATTCGAGTTGCAGTTTATTGGCAATAGCATTCCAGACCCTGGGGGCATCAATAGCAAAGGCCCTTCCTCCAGTTTTTGTACGGCAATAGGGAATGTGAAGCTGGTAAATGAGCGAAGACCTGAGGTCAAATTTGTTCTTTGAAACAGAGAGGAGATCCAGTAGGTAGTCTGCGGAATTTTTTGTAAGTACATCGTGAATAAATAAGATCTGGTGCACAAGCCGTCGAACATTAAGAGATGTTAAGTTTGACCCAATGTAGAGATCACAGTGGTGAGTCCTATATGGGCAGTTCAATGCAAATCTTAAGGCCGAGTGATAGATGGAATCAAGCTTCTTCAGTACAGTACTTGGGGCTGATTTATACACGATGTCACAGTAGTCAAGTAGAGGCAGTATGGTAGCTTTTATCAATTCCAAACGGAACATTGGGGGGAAGCAGTGCTTGTGTGGAAACAAAAAAAATGTTTTTGTCTTTTTACCAATATAATCAATGTGATCTTCAAAACTAAGTTTTGAATCCAGGATGACCCCAAGATACTTATAGATCTTGACTTGCTCTATTTGATAATTATTCAAGGAATGTAATTGGGGAAAAATAACTTCCTGCTTTAGTCCCGGAGAGAAGCATAGCACCTTGGTTTTGGAGGTATTCAGGACTAGTTTAAGAGAAACTAGCTGATGTTGTAGTTTGTTGAAATCACCCTGGAGCTTAGCAATCACGTCATCCGGAGAGTGGCCAGCAGTAATCAGTATCGTGTCATCTGCAAAAAGATTTACCCTGGAATGATCCAGTTCAGTGCCCAAGTCATTGACATAAAGAGAGAACAAGAGGGGGCCGAGGATGGAACCCTGTGGAACCCCTTTTGTTATCTTAACACTGTTTGGATGGATCATTGCACCAGATGATGGATGGATCATTGCACCAGATGATGGGTGAATAATTGCGCCAGATGATGGTTGGATCATTTCACCATATGATTGTTTGATCATTGCACCAGATGATGGATGGATCATTGCATCAGATGATGGATGGATCATTGCACCAGATGATGGGTGGATCATTGCACCAGATGATGGGTGGATAAATGCGCCAGATGATGGTTGGATTAGTTCACCAGATGATGGTTGGATCATTGCACCAGATGATGGATGGATCATTGCACCAGATGATGGATGGATCATTGCACCAGATGATGGTTGGATCATTGCACCAGATGATGGGTGGATCATTGCACCAGATGATGGGTGGATAATTGCGCCAGATGATGGTTGGATTAGTTCACCAGATGATCGTTGGATCATTGCACCAGATGATGGATGGATCATTGCACCAGATGATGGGTGGATAATTGCACCAGATGATGGTTGGATCATTTCACCAGATGATTGTTTGATCATTGCACCAGATGATGGATGGATCATTGCACCAGATGATGGATGGATCATTGCATCAGATGATGGATGGATCATTGCACCAGATGATGGTTGGATTAGTGCATCAGATGATGGGTAGATTATTGCACCAGATGATGGATGGATCATTGCACCAGATGATGGTTGGATTAGTGCATCAGATGATGGGTAGATTATTGCACCAGATGATGGGTGGATCATTGCATTTGCGATGGCTTTGGGAGGCCATCAGTGAATTTATAATGGCTCATGTTGATAATGATATTCCCTATATGTTCTACATATTGTATATAGTAGTTGTGTGTAAAGTACATCACGCAATATGCTACATGTGTGTATGTGTGTGTGCATGGAGCGGTGATGCAATGGTTAGCACACTGCTGCGATCCTGGCGATTGAGTTTGATTCACAATCACGGCCAACATCAGTGACGAATTTCCGAACCGGCCCCTGGGCCTCCCCTAGGTAGTCTCGGCCTTAAATGAGTAACCTGGTGCGGTGCGTAAATATCACCACTGGGGGAGACAAAGGCGGCCGGGCGTGGTGCTGGCCACCCACCCCCTCGTGTGCCACAGTGCCGGTAGCCTACATAGGTGCTGCTCGCTAACAGCACTTGCCCCCCAACAGTTCGGTACAGCTACACAGGGGATCTTTGTTGTTGTTGTTGTTGTGTAACTGTGCTCAGGAATGTATCTATATATAATAGGGGTGTGTGTCGTATCATGAGAAACTTTTTCGCCAGTATCAAAGTATTTAAAATAAGAAGAGGTGTTACCTTTTCTGGCCATGAAGCAGGCGTTAAGATGTTCAAACACCAAATATCAACTTTTTGCAAGGATTCAAGTTTACTGCATTAGCCACACACGGTGGGCATGCAAACAAGCATGCTCTGATGATTAAATGATAGATGCATCGTGTTGTGTGTTGACTGCCATCGTTGCTCACTTGCAGAACGTGGCCGAAAACTCTGTGCAGGCCTCACAGGGAAAGCGTTGTCTATGTACGGATGTACGCGTGTGTTTACATGCGTATACGTGTCTGTGTGTGACGGGGGAGCGGTGGTGATGTGGTTAGCGTGCTGCGCTACGAACCCGGCGGCCAGAGTTCGATTCCCGTTTAAAGGCCAACACCTGTGATGATCCGGTCGTGGGCTTTCCCTAGGTCGACTCAGCCTCAAACGAGTACCTGGTGCGGCGGGGAGACAAAGGTGGCCGGGCGTGGTGCTGGCCACCCACCCCCTCGTGTGCCGTGCCGGCCTTCATAGGCGCTGCTCGCTGACAGCACTTGCCCCTACAGTCTGTTAAGGCTATACGGGGGATCTTTGGTTTTTTTATCATTGTGTGTGTTGAGTGCTGATTGGCTCAGCAATCAATCGCCCTTGCCCATGACTTCGAGCAGATCCCCGCAAGGCTCCAATTAATTAATTAACTAATTAACTAATTATGCCTTCCCTGACCACGGGGTGATTAACGACCACTCACCGCGCATTGACAGCTGCTGATGGTGCTTGTGGTGGTGATGGTGTTGGTGGTGCTGGTGGTGATGGTGCTGGTGGTGATGGTGCTAGTGGTTGTGATGATGAGGGTGTTGATGTGACGGTGGTGATGTGAGGGGTGATGATTCTGGTGGTTGCAGTGGTGTTGATTGCATTGATGATGCCGATGGGTGTGGTGGTTGTGATTGTAGTGGTGGTGGTTTTGATGTATTCGTGATGCTGGTGGTTGCGGTGGTGGTGGTGTTGGTGGTAATGATAGTGTGGGGAGCGGTGGCGCAATGATTAGCGCACTGCCGTTACAAAGCCGGCGACCCGAGTTCGATTCCCGCTCACGACCAATAACAGTGGCGAATATTTAAAGCGGTCCTGGGCCTCCCCTAGGTGAACTCAGCCTCAAATTAGTTAGCGAGGAGCACCTATGAAGGCCGGAACGCGTACACGAGGGGGTGAGTGGCCAGCACCACGCCCGACCGCCTTTGTCTCCCTACTGGCAATGTTTACACGCCGCACCAGGAACTCATTTGAAGCCGAGTCGACCTAGGGGAGGCCCGGGACCGGTTATTGGTCGTGAGCAGGAATTGAACTGGGGTCGCCACGTTCGTAGCGCGGTGCGCTAACCATTGCGCCACCGCTCCACTCTGCATATCGTAACACTCCACCACATATACTGTGACACACACACAGATATATAATGTTATATATAATTATATAAACCACACATTTGTATTCACATAAGTGCGCGCGTGGGTTGTATCTGTCAAGGCAAGGCCGCCAACAATAGCACAGCGATAGCACAAGCAGCAGCGTCAGTAGCGGTATCATCATCATCAGCAGCAGCAACAACAATCATCGTAATCAGCAGCAGTAGGATCAACAGCATCATCAGTCGCGATGTCATAAAGCAATCATTGTCATCAGCTGCGGAATCATCATCAGCGTCAAAATCGATCATCATCAGCAGCAACTTCGTAACTAGCATCAACAGCAGTAGCAGCATCATCATCAGCAGTAGTAACAACAAGATGAGTAGCAGCAGCATCATCAGCAGCAGCATCAGCAGCAGCGTCACTCCGTATCAAATCTATCAAAAGCGACACGTCCACAATCATCATCATCAGCAGTATCGTAATCAGCATCTTTAACGCATCGCAACATCGCATCACATCAACACACAAAGATCCCCCGGGTAGCCTTCAACGGACTGTTGGGGCAAGTGCCGTTAGCGAGCAGCACCTGTGCAGAGCGGTAGGTGTGGTCAATACCACGCCCGGCCGTCTTTGTCTCCCCGGCGCTGACGATGTTTTGCACAGCGCGTTAGGCACTCACTCGTTTAAGGCTGAGTCGACCCTAGGGAGGCACAGCCCAAGGACCCGCTCCAGTGATGAGATGTTCGCTGTAACCGTTCGTGAGCGTGAATCGAACTCGGCTCGCCCGGGTTTCGCTGCGCGGTGCGCTAAGCGCTGCGCCACCGCTCCTCGCCACATATCAAAAACACGCGCACTCGCTCGCTAAGACGACGGTTCGCGACTCGCACCGGGCGTGCGTAAGCGTGCTGCTGCTGATGATGATGCCACTGCTGATGATGATGATGACGACAATGCTACCTTACACGTGTGCATTCAAATCACTCTTACCGGACTGATGCTGCTGATGCTACTGTTGCTCCTGCTGATGCTGCTACTGCTATTGTTGCTCCTGCTGATGCTACTGCTGCTGCTGATGCTATTGTTGCTACTGCTGATGCTACTGTTGCTACTGTTGATGCTACTGTTGCTGCTGCTACTGCTGCTGCTACTGTTGCTGCTGCTGCTACTGTTGCTGCTGCTCCTGCTGATGCTACTGCTGTTACTGTTGCTGCTGCTGCTCCTACTGATGCTGCTGCTGCTACTGCTGCTGATCCTACTGCTACTGCTGCTGTTTATGGTGAACGGCGTCGTCGAGGGGCTGAATGGATGCAGATTTTGCTGCGCGCTCGGAGCGCGAATGCGAGTGGGTGACGCTTATTGGCGATGGTGCGTGAGTGTGTGTGTGTTGGTGTGTGCGTGTGAGAGTCAGTGTGTGTGTGAGAGTCGGTGTGTGTGCGTGTGTGAGAGTCGGTGTGTGTGAGAGTCGGTGTGTGTGTGTGTGAGAGTCGGTGTGTGTGTGAGGGTCGGTGTGTGTGTAAATCGGTGTGTGTGTGTAAATCGGTGTGTGTGTCGGTGTGTGTGTTAGTTGGTGTGTGAGTCGGTGTGTGTGTGTTAGTCGGTGTGTGTATGTGTGTGAGTCGGTGTGTGTGTGTGTGTTAGTCGGTGTGTGTGTGTTAGTCGGTGTGTGTGTGTGAGTCGGTGTGTGTTAGTCAGTGTGTGTGTGTGAGTCGGTGTGTGTGTGTGAGTCGGTGTGTGTGTGTGTTAGAACATCTTCGCCGATTAGAAACATTTAGGCTAGCCTGCCTACGATCCATCCTGGGTTTAACCAGGTTGGATTGTGTGAGGAGCTCACAAATTCTTGAAAGATCTGGGCAGGGTCCCATCGGTGAGTTCCTCCGGCAGGCAAGGCTGCGTTGGCTGGGTCATGTAGCCCGCATGCCCAGCCACCGCATGCCGAAACAGCTTTTGTTCGGCCGGATCGAGGGGGCTAAACGGGCGCGGCACGGGCTAGAGAAGAGATGGAGTGATGTGGTACAGGAGGACGTGGAGCTGAGTGGACTTGCCGATGACTGGTATCAGCGGTGTCAAGATCGGCCTCTGTGGAGGAGGCTCGTGAAGGACGCTATTGGGCAGTTGGAGGCAGTCGCCCTCCAACAACAACGGAGGGCGGAGGAGCGACGCTCACAACAACGAGCGGAGCGCCGGGTGGCTAAAGCATAGCAGGTTGGCACAGTAGGGGGCACAAGTGGTGCACCAGCCAGTCATCTCAGTCGACCCGTGGCACCCGGGTCTGCCCCGTGACCTCCTGCCCGCGGGCGTTCGACACTTCACGTGGCCTCAAGGTGCACATGGCCTGGCACAAGCGTCGTGGTGACGTCACCGCCACTTAGTGGCGAATGGCGATTGTTGTTGTGTGGTTAGTCGGTGTGTGTGAATCGGTGTGTGTGTGTTAGTCGGTGTGTGTGTGTGAGTCGGTGTGTGTGTGAATCGGTGTGTGTGTGTGTGTCGGTGTGTGTTTGTGGGGAGCGGTAGTGTAGCGGTTAGCGCGCTGCGTTACGAACCCGGCTACCCGAGTTCGATTCCTGCTCACGACCAATATTGGTGACGGTGAATATTCGAACCGGGTCCTGGGCCTCCTCCCCTAGGTCAACTCAGCCTTAAATTAGTTTCAAATCACACCCGGTGACTATCTCGCGCCGCGAGTAACATCAGCACCGGGTAGCACTTGCCCCAACATCACGATAAAGGCTACACGGTGGATCTTTGTATTTGTATCTGGAAGTGTGTGGCCTGTACCTGTGTATAAGTGTGTGCAGATGTGTGTGTTTGTCTTTGTGTGTGTGTGTCTCTATGCAACCATGCAAATTGCATTCAATTCCCTATCACCAGCGTGTGTGCGCGCGCGTGTGGGTGTGTGCGCGCAGGGTGCGTGTGTGTGTGTGCTTGTGTGAGACGCTGCTGCTGAGACTGGAGCGTGCCACTTAGAGATGGGGCCTTACCATCAGCCCCACTAAAACTAAGCACCTGCCTGGGTATTTTGTACCATCGGACACTCCACCCCCACAACTCCCAATCGGTGATGGGGCAGTTGTGGAGAGAGTGGAGAGTTTCCCATACCTGGGAAGTGTGCTTATGACCGGCTCCAGTTTAACAGCAGAGGTCTCACTCCGAATCAGTCGAGCGGCAATATCTTTTCATCGGTTGCGTAACGCTATGTGGAAGCTACCTGGTCTGTCGCTCCGCACTAAGCTTCAGGTCTTCTCGGCCACAGTCATTCCCTCCCTTCTCTACGCTTGCGAAAAGTGGACCCCCCTAATGGAACATCTTCGCCGGTTAGAAACATTTAGGCTGGCCTGCCTACGATCCATCCTGGGTTTAACCAGACTGGATTGTGTGAGGAGCTCACAAATCCTTGAAAGATCTGGGCAAGGTCCCATCGGTGAGCTCCTCCGGCGGGCAAGGCTGCGATGGCTGGGTCATGTAGCCCGCATGCCCAGCCACCGCATGCCAAAACAGCTTTTGTTCGGCCGGATCGAGGGGGCTAAGCGGGCGCGGCACGGGCTAGAGAAGAAATGGAGTGAAGTGATACAGGAGGACGTGAAGCTGAGTGGACTTGCCGATGACTGGTACCAGCGGTGTCAAGAATCGGCCTCTGTGGAGGAGGCTCGTGAAGGACGCTACTGGGCAGTTGGAGGTAGTCGCCCTCCAACAACAACGGATGGCGGAGGAGCGACGCTCACAACAACGAGCGGAGTGCCGGGTGGCTAAAGCACAGCAGGTTGGCACAGTACGGGGCACAGGTGGTGCATCAGCCAGTCATCTCAGTCAGTCGACCCATGGCACCTGGGTCTGCCCCGTGACCTCCTGCCAGCGAGCGTTCGACACTCCACGTGGCCTCAGGTGCACATGTCCTGGCACAAGCGTCGTGGTGACGTCACCGCCACTTAGTGGCGAATGGCGGTTGTTGTTGTGTGTGTGTGCGCGTGTGTGTGTCTCTGTGCAACCATGCAAATTGCATTAAATTCCCTATCACCAGCGTGTGTGTGCGTGCGCGCGTGTGTGTGCGCACGTGTGTGCGCGCGTGTGTGCGCGCGCGTGTGTACGTGTGCGTGTGTGCGCGTGCGTGTGTGCGCGCAGGGTCCGTGTGTGTGTGTGCGCGCGTGTGGGGAGCGGTAGTGTAGCGGTTAGCGCTACGCTGCGCTACGAACCTGGTGACCCGGGTTCGATTCCCGTTCACGGCCAACATCAGTGACGATTATCTGAACCGGTCCTGGGCCTCCCCTAGGTCGACTCAGCCGCAAATGAGCCACTGGTGCGATATGTAAACATCGCCACTAGGGAGACAAAGGCGGCCGGGCGTGGTGTTGGCCACCCACCCCCTCCTGTGCCGTGCCGGCCTTTATAGGTGCTCGCTAACCGCACTTGCCCCAACAGTCTGCTAAGGCTATAAGGGAGATCTTTGTCTTTATCTTTGTGTGTGTGTGCGATTATGCAAAATTGATTCATTTCCCCATGGGAGGCCCGAGAATGCGTGGTGGTGCAATCGTTTCACCGAAGTCGACTCAGCCTTTAATGGGCGCCACGGTGGCTATGAGATGTTAACTACCTCGCCTGGTCTACAGGAGGTCGTGGGTTCGATCTCGACACTGACGCCTGCTGCTGTATATTTGGAGTTTGCGTGTCTCTCCGTGGTGAGATGTTAACTACCTCGCCTGGTATACAGGAGGTCGTGGGTTCGATCCCGACACTGACGCCTGCTGCTGCTGTATATTTGGAGTTTGTGTCTCTCTCTCTCCGTGGTGAGATGTTAACTACCTCGCCTGGTACACAGGAGGTAATGGGTTCGATCCTGACCCTGACACCTGCTGCTGTATATTTGGAGTTTGCGTGTCTCTCCATGGTGAGATGTTAACTACCTCGCCTGGTCTACAGGAGGTCGTGGGTTCGATCCCGACACTGACGCCTGCTGCTGCTGTATATTTGGAGTTTGCGTGTCTCTCTCTCTCTCTCTCCCCGTGGTCACGTGGATTTTTCTTTTGGTCTTCCGGTTTTTCCCTCCACGCTAAGGGAGCTCCGCCCACAACCTGCCACGTGACTAGTTTAAAATGGCGTCCAGTGAAGGCGCGCCTTTTTTTGGTTTGTAACGGCCACGTGCGCGTGTCGGTATTTATGTTGGGGCCCCGTTAAAATGATGTCACAATGTATAGGGGTGGTGTATAAGAGTCGTTAAGTGGTGAGTTTAAAGTATCAACGGAAACGATTTATTGGGCCATGAAGTCAAGAAGCCCCCCTGTTAAAAGTTGTATAAGCCTTCGTTTTCATCAAGGGTTTTATATAGTCACATGATTGCGTTAGAAATGACATCGTTGGGTAGAGTACGTGATTTGTGAGAATTGTACGGGGAATTTGTAATAGCGTAGTTTTATAGTGGTTACAATCGCTGTAATAAGTGCAGTGATTTAATTACTGCGCACGTAAAGGGTTCAAATAATAGACGTTAAATATGACATTCATAAACGTGTTAAGTTAGAGTTAATGTGCTTGTGATATATTAGTCTTCCATGAGAAGACGGCTTTGAGATAGTTCATTTGTGTGATGTTTTGCTATGTTTAGTGTGTTAATTCATTTAATCCAAATTCATTCGTTACAATGTATTTGCATTGACAAAATATATTATAGCTAAGTTATTATAATTCACCTATATTGAGTATTATAGTTCACGAATCTTGAGTTCATTATAATTCATGGGTATTGAGTTAGTTTATTATAATTATTTTATTTGATCATTTGCAAATCGGTGATTAATACTCTACATGCATAAATACCATACACGTGGTATCCACACATGCAGGGCGGCCCGTCCATATAGGCGAACGAGGCGGTCGCCTATGGCGCCAAGTTAAGTAGGGCGCCAAATCTGAAGAAAATAAAACGAAGATGTCATTATTTAAATTCCTGTGCGTGTACAGAGGGAATATGATTATAATTAACTTCTCAACATTTCTAAGAATGTATTTGTTGGACAAACGGATAGACGGACACACCGAATAATGATGCCTCTG